TCAAGGCTGCCAAATTTGAGGGCTGGGATAGAGGTCAGGGAATTCGAGGAGAGGTCAAGTTCCTTCAAGTTCGGAGTCTCCCATCCGTCTCGCTCCAATCGAGTAATCTTGTTATTCCGAAGATGCAGTATCAAGATGCTCTCGCTCTTGAGGGTTGGGACTGAAGTTATTGAATTCCAGGAGAGGTCGAGATATTTCAGAAGCTTGAATGCATGAAGACTATGGAATGGGAAGTCTTCTAAATTCCCAGATTGAATGGCGAGATTCACTAGACTGTTTTTAAATGGAAGGATTGCCATAGGGGGGATTTTCTTAAGGGGAAATGCATTGCGCTGAGACTGGTGTGATGGTGGATGGTGCCAACTTATTTCCACATCCTGAAATGTAAGGTCTCCGAAGATTCCTGCTGGGATGTACTCATCCATGAATTTCGGTTCGTTGACTATGCGGAATTCCCTATTATGAGAAAAAAATGAATGAAACGCTTCTTAGGGTGACCTCAATGAAGTCATTCACTAATGGAATAATGCAAATAGGGAAACAGTGCTGGACTTGCTTGGATTTGAAGCAATCTCTTTTACAATATTTGTAGAAACTCGGGATATCGAGATTTCTTGTGAACGAGGATTTAGATTTTATTTTTTCAAAATTATATGTTTCATTAAGAGAGGAATATAAATTCTAGTGGGAGCTGACGTTGGCGGAGATGTACTGCTTTTCTGGCTTTTCTCCTATAATTTATCTCTTTCTTAACTTCGAAACTTCTCACAGTGAAAATGTTTTTTGTAGGAAATTCTATTTTTTTAAATGTAATTTTGAATAAACCTTGCAACTAAAGGCGTTACCATGATTAATATTGAGAGTCGCATTTGTGTATGAAATGTCAGCTTTCGATAATTAAGATTGTTTAAAGTTGCGAAACCTAATTTAACCCTTTCCTGCATGAATTTCTGAAGCAAATCAAAAATAGGCTTTTTTCATTCAACGTTTATAGAAGTACGCTGCCATAGTAGTTGCATGTATCACCGCTAGAAAGCAGCACTGAACAGATTATGTGCCCTCATGTTGACTACGCTAAAAATATGACATGTGGACTATGGCTAAAAAGGAACCGTAATGACCAGTAAGGTTTTAGTGCACTATAGTGGACACAATGGAGGAAAGGGTTAATGCAAGTCTATGTGGAAGTACGGAGCCATGAGGGGACGTAATTTTGAATTTATTAAAGTCGTATTCCAATTCTTTTTTGTGTGCATATCATCAAATTTATATAAGAGGCCCCATTTTTCAGAGGCAAAAAATAGTTGTTGAAATACTTCCCTGCCATATTTCGCATTAAGGGGACATATTTCTAAAGTAGGATTTTTTCTGTACTCAGCAGTCTACTTCTGCGTGAACTTTTTATTTCTCTGTATCGTTGAATTAAAAATATGTTCCGGAAAGTGAGCCAATTGTAAGAAAAAAGGTGCATGAGGACTTTTACTTAACAAGAAAGAGGTAAACATGCTGCAAATCCCAGGTAACAAAGTGCTCTGTTGTCGACAGAGTCACCATGATCTTCAGACTACCATCCAAAGACCACCCGAACGTGTTCAATTAACGCTTCATTTACTGTAAGGCACTGCCATAAATGTCATTGGGGACTTATATTAACTTTATCAACGCCCAATATATAGAGCGATCATCAACAGATTAAATTAAGCGTTTCCTGAATGACACGAATTCATCAAGTGTCTAAGTTCGATGTTTCCAAGTAAAGGGTTCAATAAACTTTCCCTTTCAGGTTTTTTGCTATATGCAATTAACTAATAAATAGTATTATCTAATAACGAGAATTAATTAATATTAATTAATTAATTATTATTCAGTCCTAGTAACGTCCTGTCCCGTGGCAGGGATAGATGATTATGATATGCCAATAATGGAAAAATAACCCCATGTTCTACATAGGGTTGTAGTGAAAGGGTTTTAGTGAAAGCAGCATACTATACGTGGAGTTCACCTTCCAGGACTAGCGAGAGTGTTTCCCACTGCAATCCACCCTCTGATTAGGATTATTGATAAGTTTGAAGAGAAAGCATCATGAGCATGAGAGGGGATATATCATGGCTGCAGGTTCCCTTGATCTTAGAGTACTAAATTTTATCATGGGGTTTCCTTAAAGGTGTTCTCAACAGAACCATACATCTTTGATAGACTCAAATATTCTGTGGTTACAACGCTGAGAGACAACCCACAAAACACTGGCCAATTTTATTGAAAATACTGTTGTATGTTGCAAAGAGTTTATCCATAGGAGTGGTGAAGAGTCTGAGCTTGTTTTTCAACATCTAAAAATACTTAGTGAGTTCGTCAATCACATGACAGTTAGCTAAATTTGTTATCGATATGAACAAGGAAAATATAGTTCAATTATATATCAATTATTGTTTGTTACCATCCTGTAGATTCGTCAAAATCGATATTGTAATTGCGTTAATCATTATCTTAAGTAATGGACCAGTGAAGGCGCGACCATAGCGAGTTTGTTTGCCCAAAGGCAAATGAACTTGCTAGTATTGTAATACCTTCATTTGGCTAAACTATTGGATGAAGTTGGCGAAATAAAAATTTCCTCCATCTTTTAAGATCTTACTGTGAAAGGTTACAAATTTTCAATCAGTAATATCCTGTTAGCATTCAAGAAGAAACTGAAGAGTGGACTCGTCAGTTTCACTGAGGAGCATAAGATATGAGGCGTATGGTAGAGAAATTTTGCTTACGCTTTTTATTCTATTTATGGAGCTATTTTCTACTGGTTCGCAGTTCATTCTATATTAATATGCATGATTGAGGTAAGTACATTGTGTAATTGGGAAGTACTCCAAATTTTAACTCTTCGTGTGATTCACTTTGAAAAGCAAATGAACCGCATTTTGAATGATGTTCCCTGTCCTTGCTCCTTAATTCGAATACTTCTCGATGTCATGAGAATCACTTCATCAGAAAATCTCCATACCATACCACTGTCACTTCCCTACAAGAAGAGTATCAGGAGCTACTTGCATGTAGATTCAAAGGAGAAACAAGTTAAAGACGTAAAGATATGACGATATCACAAGGAGATGTACTTTAAACTGTAAACATTCGAAAGCGTCCCTGAATTGTTGTTATCCTACAAAAAGCATGTTCGGTTTAGAAAGGGAACAGTATTTATCCATCTGCACCATGCTGTCAAGATTCCGGATCTAAATATGATTACTGGATGATGACTCTGGGCATCGCTATCAATGCAATTGAACAGCATTAAAGACCATTCATAACATGAAGTCGAAGAAACTCGAAGATTCTCTTAATTCGGAAAAAATATGAGGAATGGATGTGCTTCCAAGCCAATGGGATCTAAAATAAAATATAGATACTGAGATTTTCTTGAACCAAAACGCCACTCTAATCAATTGAGCTTTCTTTCAGTACCACTCATTCCACGACTTCAAGATGAAAAATTGAAAGAAATTCTTCTCGAAGATAAACCAAAACATAGACACGACATGTAAAGATATATTCATGATCTCTTGGAAGTCTCCCCGCAATGCACGTGCTAAAGCCGACCAACATCAGAAAATTCATAACATTTTGATAAGTGACAGTAACAAAAAAAAGAAACTCATATTGTTAAATATATATTGTGGATTCTCTTTCATATGAAATTCGAAACATTTTTATCTGGATCCCCAAATCGTAAAAACGAAGTCAAATTTCACTAAAATAATAAATAATGGATGTTGGGCTTTCATTTTCCACATGTGATGATGACAATAGCCAAATAATACTCATATAAAATTGAAAATTTGGTGGACTCTTAGTACTGCAATTTTAGCTTTGTCATGTTGGCTCACACAAGAGGTAATAGAGTGCTGAAATACTGAAAAATTACAAAAATTGAAAAAGGCTTATTTGTCAGGTTTGAGAAAACCCCCATATTTTTGCTATGATAATTGGATTCTACTATTTCAGATATTCCATATGAGCCATACACGCATATCTAACTGGTGTAGCTTGAGAGTCATGAGGTTCGTCCGAGCGGTCACACGTGGCTGTAAACGAATGCTTACGAAATTCATACCTCAATTATAAACAGAAATAAAATTAAAGTACGAATATTTCGAAATGTGGATTTTCAGGAAATTTGTCAACTCTGAATTGTTTCAACATTTTTTGAGATAGTTGAGCGTCATCATGTCTGTTGGCATGGAATGACCCTAATGTAATCTGTAATATTATTAAAATGTAAATTGGTGTGTAGGCTGCGCAATCGTCAATTCTAACCAAATATACTGTATATAGACGATCGTGACTGAGTAAATGACTGGCTGTCTGACGGTAATTCTAACCTGTTCCAATGTACTGTACTGCACAGGTTCTTTGAAAAGTAACTTTATTTTATTTCGCTTATAAAAAGCACAAAAATTATATGAATGAGAAACGGTTCTCAGAATATTGTACTTTATGGCATTTCATGTGACATGCCTCACGCCTCAACATGTCTTCCTGCATTTTCAACACATTTATGGAGTCAGACTCTAACGCTCTATGTTGTTCTCTTAAGGAAGTTTCGTGGAACTTGCTGGAAAACGGCGTTTACTTGTTCCAATTCCTCCAATGTTTGGGGGTTGTTCTTGTAAACCCCTTCTTTTCCCCTTCTCCATGAGAAGAAATCCCATGGTGTCAGGTCGGGGCTTCTTGCTGACCATTCTATCAGACTTCGTCGAATAAGCCATCTGGCAGGGAATTTTTCGTCCAGTCATTATCGGACAGGTGTCGCAAAGTGAGGAGGTGCCCCGTCTTGCATAAAGATTACCTTCTGTGCTTTCACACGCTCTGCGACAGCTGGCTACTCATAATTTTCTAACATTTCGTGGTAACGAACACCATCCATTGTGTTTCGTAGGGTGTATGACCCCTGGAACTGATTAGCACTGAAGCCACACCACACGGTAACTTTGGGAAGGCCTTGAGCTTTTCATCTGTTGTTGCTGCGTCACAACGTTTTCAGCCATGTAATGTGCGTTATGTCTTTTTACGAAGCAACCGACATGGAAGACTGCCTCATCAGACGGCAAGATGCTCCGGAAGCAAAACGGACCAGTCTTCCAACCACCCCAGCATTATCTCGGCAAATTTAGTCATCGGTCGCAATCTTCTGGGAACAGTTGCTGCACATAATGTGGTTTCCATGCACAGAATTTCAGCTCACGTTTCAGTGCGGAACGAACATCATGCGCAGTCATACCAGTCTCCTTGGTCGCTTGTCGCAGCGACTTTTTTGGGCTACATTCAATTGTCTGTCGAACTGTTTCAACATCTTGAGACCGGGATGTCGAAGGACGTCCATTTCGCATCACGTCTGCAACTGACCCTGTCGTCATGAGCTTCGTATGGCAATTCCTGATTGTCTTCAGGTCTAGAGAGGCACGTCTTCCGTGGCCGCCCCTCCACCACCGTTGCACTTGCACAATCGAACCCCACTTCAAAGCGCGATGCGATCTTTCCGCGTTCCCAAACGGCTCTGCCATGCTGCTTCTCAACATCTGGCAAGTGCCAGGGTGTGCCTGTAGTTGGGAAATAACCCGATATGCTACCATGTATCCAGTGCTGCCATATTGCCAGTACGAGTCACATGAAATGGTATAAAATAAAGTATTATATTCTGAAAACAGTTTCTAATTCGCATCAATTTTCTACTTTTCATTAACGAAATGAAATAAGGGGGTACTTTTCAAACACCCTGTAGACATGGTAGTAGCATGAAACCTGATACCTAAGTACCTATTGGGTGCTGAGTTCAGAAAATTTCAGACACTAAAGGTAAATACCCTGGGCACACAAATTTCGTGGGGAGATGTTTTCAAATCATGTATTTGCTTCAGTCGAATGGAGAATTTTTGTTTCTTTTGTGTTTTTTTTTCTTCTTCTCCCTCCTCCCACACAGACGCCTGTGGAGAGGATTAAACCTGAAGATTAAAACCGAAAAGAAACAAAATATCATCCTCCAGAACGGGACATTCATTCTATTCAAAAATCGAAAAGTCCCACGAGAATAATTTTCCCCCCTTCGCACTCTGAATTCGAGTTAACCGTGAGAAAATAGTTATAGGGAGTGAAAATTTCATTCGAGATAAGCGAATTCGAGTTAAACGGAGCTTTTAACATGGTGTCCTACGGGGTTCCGCCGGGACCAAGCATTGAACTTCGAGATAAGCGGAAATTCGACTTATCAGGATTTGAGTTAATGAGTTTTCACTGTATTCTGAAAACCGTTTCTTATTCGCATCATTTTTCTACTTTTCATAAGCGAAATGAAATAAGGGGGTAACCTTTCAAACACCCTGTAGACATGGTAGTAGCGTGAAACCTGATACCTAAGTATCTATTGGGTGCTGAGTTCAGAAAATTTCAGACTTTGAAGGTAAATACCCTGGGCACACAAATTTCGTGGGGAGATGTTTTCAAATAATTTACTTGCTTCAGTCAAACGGGGAAACGTAAAAAGCGAAAACTTTGCATAAAAATGACTACTTACACACGTCAGGAAGTTTTTCATTTTTCCTATGCATCCCCTGGTGGCTAATTTTTTAAGTGTGACATTCTCAAAAAAAATTCCTAGGGTGGTTTAATGCTGAATCAGGCAGGGTCTTGGGTTTCGTTTCACTTCATTATCTTCGATTTTTTAAAAAAATATATGATCCCCCCATTCAAATGATGAAAAACGGCAAATTATTTGCCTCTGTATCTGCTATAGTTTCGGAGAAAAAAAATTCACAATTACAGCGCTCTAAAAAGGCCGACTTGTGAAATTCCTGTTTTCCCTCACTTTCATTCTCCTAAAGTAACGTGCAAAAATTCAGGAAAGTAATTTCTACCTTACTTGAATGTACGTCTCATGCAAACATTTCAGAAAAACCTAAATTATAATTTATAAATGCGTAAATTTATATTTTCAAATCAATGAAACTGCTGAATTTGGTGGTTTTTGCTGAATTTTTTCGCCAGTTGAACTTGTATCCCATCATGAATCATATATATATTCCTTCATGACCTATTATACATACATTCGTGCATCTCTCATCATGTGGCATCTATATCATTAATGCTTAATTTGACATTGATTTACCATTTTTTACATTTTCCGAAAAATGGATGAAAAATATTTTCCCCCCATCATTGATTTTCTACATTTCGTCCGCCTTGAAACTAGAAGGCATCGGTTACAGCGTGGTATAAAAATGTCCTCCTCGATTTGCCTCATTACCAAGTTATTGATTTTTAAACATGCACATTTTCCGACGACGTTGAGGGTCACGCAACGGTCACGCAATCATGATTGCTTTTTAACCGCATGTGTCCAGCATGTCAATATTAATATAATTTGGCAATTATAAATTCGACAATTCGACAAGTTCACATCTACCGTGATGTAATGGTCAAATTGCATTGCATGTTGAAAGTGCTTCGCCATTGTTTTTGCATAATATTTTGCCTGGTCGACCTTTTACACTTAAGTACATGGTTATGTTAAGATTATCTCTATCAGAATCGGTTATTTGACGCTTAGGGACATTCAGGATGCCCACACTAAGGCCATTGTTATTTTCAGTGAAAAACCTCTTCTTTAATTTCCATCTCATTATATGTTTATTCAAACGAAGTTCAGGACAATCGCACAGCTTATCATTAATGAAAAATTCAGTGTCATATCTTCAGTTTTAGAACCACTTCCTTCGTCTCATGCCGAACGGATCTCGCCATGAATAATTGTCCATTCCTTGAAGTTCAATAATGGCTGCGCTGGATCCCTTTGGCTGCTTGCACGGTGGTCCATTCCTCTTTTTTCTTGCTGCGATAATCTTGAACCGTTGCCGTAGGCAACATCAGGGAATGCACATTTTTGAGGATGGGTGCCATTTTGGCATTAAGATCCACTTGAGTTTGGATGGAATCGAGCGGATAATGAGTCAAGTTAAAAACTGGCGTGGTGCTTCGCCAGCCATCCTATTCCATCGCATGGACCTTGACCATGACCAGTTGCTGTGAAAAGCCACTTTCTTTCAGTGTCACTGGTAGCAGTTTTCAGTTCATGAAGCTGAAAACGATTTTTGAAATGGCTCCCTGCTCCATCTGATACGTATATGGTGGATTCAAAATTGCATCCATGAAGTGTAGCTGCCACTCTTCACATCCTTGGCATATTCCACCGCTTGACGCACTTTCTGTACTGGACAGGTCGTAGACTTCCTGAATTTCCTTTCTAGCTTTCGAAGACAAAGTAGAGGCAACCTCATGCTGTTTCCATTTTTCATATGCCCTCCCCCTTTTGGTCCAGATTGTACTGGGTGTGATGTCCACTTCAAAGGCAGACACGCTTTCATTTACAGCCTTACGAGTTCTTCTGATGGAACGAAAGCTGCATCTTCCTGGGAAGTTCCTGAGTTTTCACCATATGATGGTGATCCTGTTATGGCACTCACTAATGTTTGATAATGCTTATAGAAGTCGGAACACAGTTCATCACTAGTTGAGGCAGAAGAAAAGCCGAGTCGTCGCAACGTACCAGCAAAGTCCTTCACTTTCCGAAAACTTGAATGCCCAAGTATCATTTTATAAATCACTTTTTTGTGCAGTCGCTCATAGTCAACACACCGAATGCGATCGGAACTGAATGAGAATCTTGGCATCATACTGCTAAAGAAGGAGCAAATGTCAAGAAACAGTCACATTCACCGACGAATAAAGAAAATAAAATTTCTGTCCCTTTAGGGTCAAGGAGAAGGTAAGAGGGAAGAGGAAGTTAGTGGGTGAGATTCAGAGGGATGATTTAGTGCCGAGACTAGGAAGAGTGGAGGAGGCATGCTGGGGTTCCCCAGCCTTCCGGACTTTACTGAGAGGGTGGCCCTTTCGTTCCTTGACAGCGCGGCTACACTCTTAGAAAGTTCTGAGCGTTTGGGGAGTAAAAAGCGAGCACACCGTGAGCTTTTCGAAATTTACTCTCTTATTGCTCACCAAATGCTCCCTCATCGCTCGTATTGAAGTGAACACCTTGATGTTCTTCTCCAGGCCACTAGATGGAGGTAAGGGTCTCGCTTTTCGCACAGAACATAAAAGTTCCCTTCCCTCTTCCCTGGAATCGTTCCTCGCAGGATTGTTTGGTACCTTGCCATATGTCTCGCCTAGTCTGATTATAGGAATAAAAAAACACGGACCCTTCATCATCTGTTATCCACATATACAAGACATATTCATAGACTCCAGGCCATAAATAAGCTCATATTCCTATTGAGAACCCTTTTGAAACCCCCTTGATTTTACCTGCATAGGAAATCTAGAACATCCAGAGAGTGTCCGTGAACTTCATTCAGACAAACATTCATGAAATGAGGTAATAAGGGACTGATATCCCGGACACTCCACGAAACCTATAAGAGGTTGTCCACCCTCTGACGTGCGCTGTAATCAGGGCAGCCAGAGGTTGGTCAACGCCTGTACGAGAGCGAAAGCGACTCACAGTATACATGTGAATTTTCGTATTTGCATGACACCTCTATCACTTTCTGATGGCAGCGTTTTTACTCACGGAGGAGGAGAGCATGAGTGTGAAGAGGTGCGCCTTTTTTAATTTCACAAAATTTAACAAATTATTGTGCAAAAACGGTTCCATACCCAAAACCAAAACCAATGTTACATTCTAACTAATATCAAGTGACATGAACAGGCGCTAGGCCATAGGCCGAAATGTAACCAAAAACGGGCACTTGGCCGCAAATCAAATTAGGCTTGGCAAGCGCTTGGCAATGAAAAAGCACTGAATGGACAGACCAGCAAGGAACGTGTCGACCAGCAAGTCAACCGCCCACACCGGAAGACAGGATCCCCTGACACACCCCCAGCTCTGCTTGCTTTCTTGCATAAATGTTCAGATGTCATGTGAGGCAGAGAAGAACCCCCACTTGGAGCAGTTAGTGTTCATCAACGTCCATGCATGAAAAAACCACTCCTCCAGCGAAAAGCAGGCTCGATATAAAACTTGTCCTTAAAACCTCTGACTAGGTGGTTTAGTCCTTTTGAGCAACACTGGATGCTGGTCCTGTCGTCTGCTCCTCAGACCATGACAATACATAAGGATCGAACACGTAAGAGATAAGGTCGGGTCGGTGGTGTGCTCCGAGTCGGCAGAGGAAATGTTGGTGGTCCTCGACGTTGGGACAAACAACACTCCCAAGTCTGGCTCTGAAATTATCATGGGCAGGTTAAGGCAAGCTATTAGGGCGTGGGTGAGAGGGGCACATCAGGGCGTGTTGGGAGGAGAGATCAGAGGTGCAGGTGACGGGATGCGCGCTTCCAAGCCGACTATACAAAGCATTAATCGTGTGGTCTAGGTGGAGAATTTTTCAGATGCTACGTAACTTGACCATGAAATCATGGCAGATGTGCACGTCATATTGTCGAATTTATAATCGCCACATGATATTAATATTGACATGCTGTACACATACGGCTAAAAATCAATCATTATTGCGTGACCGTTGATTTCCTCAACGTCGTCGGAAAATGTGCATGTTTAAAAATCAATAACTTGGTAATGAGGCAAATTGAGGAGGACATTTTATACCGTGCTGTAACCGGAGCCTTCTAGTATCAAGGTGGACGAAATGAAGAAAATCAATAATGGGGTTTTTTGGGAAAAGAAAAATCTTTCTCATCCAATTTTCGGAAAATGACAAAAATTTTAAATTACTATCAAATTAAGCAGTAATGATGTAAATGCCAAATGACAACAAGAGATGCATAAATGTATGTAGTTCATGAACATATATTTGATTCAAGATGAGTTACACATTCAACTGGAGAAAAAAATCAGCAAAAACCAGCAAATACGGCAGTTTCATCGATTTTGGAAAATTAAAAATACTTATTTATAAAAGTATGAATCAGGTTTCCTCAAATGTTTGCATAAGACGTATATTCAAGTAAGCTAGAAATAATCTTCATGAAGCTATGCATGTTACCTTAGGAGATCGAAAGTGGGGAGAAAGCAGGAATTTCACAAGTCGCCCTTTTTAGAACCCTGCAATGGTGAAAAAATTTCCGAAGCTATAACAGATATAGAGGTAAATAGGCTACAGTCTTCTATCATTCGAATGTATCAAGCATGTTTCATTGAAAATTTTTACGACTATGACGTGAAAGGTCCTGCCCGATATGAAATAGAAACATCCCCTGGCGAATTTGGGAGAGACATAAAGGTGAAATTTGGAGCAAAAGAACCTATTCGATTCCCGAGTGCAGATCCTACTTTCCAAATAGATCACCTTAGGATAAAGAGATATCACGTTAGGTACACAAGAAATCATAATTGTAATTATTTCGATACAAAAATATAGGTCCATCACCTCATGGCACATTTTTCGACTGGGGCATATTTGTCATACCTTTTTGCCAATTCTAAAATGAATTAATGAATGAATCGCTATCCTGGACAATGGAGCGCAGAAGGCGCGATCATGGCGGGTTTTTATGCCTGAAGGGAAAACAAGCAAGTAAATAATAATTCACTATGTTTGACCATCCTCTTTTACCTTCTTTTTCCTTTAGTGCATAGATCCTGGGTCAAATGGTTCCAGTGAGTATGAGATATTGCAAAAGCCAGTCGGTAGTTCCAGGATTGATGCATGCATGTTTTCGTTTGAGTCAGACTACGGGAAGTGGAAAATTTCAATGAGCTCTCACTTACCACAGTTGAGCGGAGAACCAAGTGGCGCTTTTCAAAGCCGATGAAATCTCCTCACTTGTTCTGGCTTCTGAGCAATCCACAATAACTTTGCCTTCATCGTTCGTATAGCACTCACACGGTAGTATTTTTTCAATGGGACATGTCTGTTCGGTCGTCCCAAAAAGCAGGGAGAGTAGAGAGAAGGAGAATGCCAATGCAAAAATCATGTTAGAAAGTCTTGATTGGTGCGGATGTCCTCTGGGTTATTCCTCCTAGATTTTCACTGAGTAAGAACCCACGCTCAGATGTCACATGACACTTCTTCTACAGAAGGACAATCACATAGTAATTTGCAAAGCAGACGGTGAAGAGTTGAGATGCAACCCTCACAAATGAAATGCAAGAAACAGATAATCATACATATTAGGGTAAGTAACTGCTACTTTGGCGGGCATCGCCGAAAAATGCGAATATCGTGTAGACTGATGTGCAAGGTATTGCATTACTAAATGTCTGCCATCATTTTACTCAAGCAATTTCATAAGTTTAGTTGGACGCAAGACAATGACAGAATCATGAATTACCAGTGGGATAGAAAAAATTTGAAGTTTATTGCATATGAGAAGATAATATTTTCTAGAAGAAAGTGGCACATTGTCTAGTGTTCATAACATATGGAGATCAGTATATGATCAGTATATGATCAGTATATGATCAGTATATGATCAGTATATGATCAGTATATGATGAATATGATGTATATGATCAGTATATGGTGTATATGATGACTTTGTCATTTTGCGCTGCTCTCTGCCATCCAAAAGTCAGATCTGTAGGAATTAGCAAAAATTTGCTACAAAAAAATTTCATTTGCGGAC